AAAAAAAAAAAATTAAGAGGGCGAAGATGTTTGCATTTGGGAATATGAACCAAAGTAGCAGCAGCCCCAGCCCTCGTTGACAGTTGGGTTGAGAAGTGATGAATACCTAATCCAGCCAGGATCTTCCAGTCCAGTAGCTCTTCCAACTGGACCTATTCATCTGCCAGTTGGCATTTATTTCAGGGGGACTATTCGGTGAAAAGATCCCAACTAGTTGGGGAGTCGGGTTAAAGACTCTTTCTCTCTCTCCCCCCACCATGGCAGCATTTTGAATTATGATGATGATGATTATCCCTCGAATAGGCCAAGTCACGCGATGTTTCCCCCTTTTAATTGTCTCTCTCTGCCCCCACCTCTTCCCTCTCCCCTCCCATTGATGTCTACAAGGAGTTTGGGACCCCCCCCCCCCTTTCTTTCCTCTTCCCCTGGCCCTTCTAGATCTCCATCGGAATGCAGAGCAGAGTTGGGTGAAATTTTTTTTTGGCTCTTTTTTTTTTTAATTTAAAGTTTTGAATTCCTCAATGATTTTTTCCCCCTCCCCTGTACTTCTAGAAAGGCGGCTTAGGATAATTATTTCAGCTTTATTGAGGGCAGATTAGGAGAAGTCTGGATGCTGCGTTTCAATACGCGTTCTACATGCCTGGACAATGTCCCTATTGTTTGCTACTGTGTGTGAACCCATTCAAAATATACACTTTTTAACACCAACCAAAGTCCTGTCTAAATATACACAGTAAGGCTGGAAAGACAGCCATGACCCGTACAAATCTCTGTAAATCACACTTCCAGAGCCGCAGAAACGAAACAAAGGAGTTTCCAGCTCAAGATGCCGATTAAAATCGCCTTAAAAGCAACGCACCTAAGGATAAATGCAGGCGGACGGCAGCAGAGAAGGCCGCCTAAGCTACTGCAGCTCAGCAATTTGTTTTCAGATATATGTATGTATGTATGTATGGTATGTAAGTATATTCAGATTTCTCTCTCACATTCTCACATACAAACCTAGAGCGGTGTGTACGCACAATATATAAGTGTACCTATATCCACAAACAAGTGTGTGTATGAGAGAGAGAGAGAGAGAATACTGTATATGTGCATATATGTGTATATACGTGTATATATGCATATACACACTTCCATAGTGTATATGTGTGAGCATACATATGTGTATGTAAATACATACATAGTGTATGTATCCCACACATGAGGTTTTTAAATTTTAATTAATTTTTTTTTTTTTAGTATTTTCACTACCTTTTTAAAATATATATATATGAGGAAAGAACTGGGGAAATTAACCAACGAAGAGGTGTAAATGACCATCGTTGTTGCTGTGTGTCTTCAAGTCCTTTCCGACTTACGGCGACCTCCAGACGACCCTATCACAGGGTTTTCTTGGCCAGATTTGTTCAGAGGGGGGTTACCTTTGCCTTCCTCTGAGGTTGAGAAAGCGTGACTCGCCCAAGGTCCCTCATTGAGTTTCCACGGACGAGTGGGGATTTGAGTCTTTAGTCTCCAGAGTCGTAGTCCAACACTCAAACCATTACACCATAGGGAATGTACAATATCTCGCCAATCTCCAGGTAGCACACTTGCACAGAAAAGGCAATGGGTTTTTAAGGCTAGGGAGGACTTGTAAACAGCGGAGGAAGAATTGGAAATAATTTGTTGCAAGTCCCAGGCTGTAAATCTTCCCCGTCCCGGTTTTTCCTCCAGATAGAATTCGCTCAAAAGTGCATCTTTTTCTAATTCTGGGACACAAGGACATACACACAAACACACCAGGACGGGCTGCAGTATTCTCCGGTGGTTTTGAAAGTGTTTACTCGGAAGTCAATCCGACTAAGTCCAGTCCTGGTTGGAGTTAGTCAGATTGACTTCCGAGTAAACTGCAGCCCATCCTGGTG